AAGGGTAGAGTGTACAATGCAGCGGTACGTTCGACCTTACTGTACGGTTGCGAAACTTGGCCCCTAAGATCAGCAGACATGAAGAGGCTAGTTACGTTCGACCATCGGTGCCTTCGTAGTTTGGCTCACACCTGGTGGGAACACCGCGTGAGTAACGAGCGTGTTCGGCGCCTTGTTTGCGGCACAGGAAAAGGAACTGAACCGCTCAGCACCGTTATTTCACGCACCAGGCTCCGATGGCTGGGCCACGTGTTACGCATGCGAGCCCACCGACTTCCACGACGTGCGCTGTTTGCTCACCTAGGATGTTAATGGAAGAAGAGGAGGGGCGGCCAAGTGATGACTTGCTCGAGAGGAATGAAGGCCCTCACTTCGGAGCTGGCCTCGGCTGGAGCGTCTCGGCTCCCTTGTCGGGGTCCGAAAGATGATAAAGAAGTTTGGCTGGATACACTTGCTGACATGGAAAGGAGCCAACCTCAGTGGCGTTCCTGCTGCAAGTTTCTTTGTCCCTCCCCATCCCTTTTAGCCTCCCCCTCCACGTACGATCGCATTTCATAGTGTAAAACATAATAATTTTACTTTTTGCCTAGTAGCCGGCTGGTATCTTACCGGAACGATGCCTATCCGTTGCTGGTAGCTCAGCTGGCATGCAACTTTTGTATTTATTTTCCTTTTCCTTTGTGTATTACGGCACAGTAGCTGAGGTGTCTCCCACCTCTAGCTGACGTGTATAACGATGTATGATGATGGATTACTTTTGTGTTTTGTAGGTTGCTCACCACTCACGCATGTTTAACATGGAACGCTGAACCTAGTCTTTTATTTTCTTTGCTCATGACTTACGTTCTGGCCTGCGAATATTGTACAGAAAGCTAAGCCGGCCCGCGGTCGTCGTTTTGTTGGCTGTCCGGCCAGCCGTGCAAAGGTGTGGTGACCGCTAGCCTAGAAAGAACAAAGCACGAACAGGGGCGAATCGGATTGGCTGAAACGCGCGAGCGGACGAAACGTGAGCATCAGGGATCCCACATTAGCGGCACAGGATGTGATAGCAGTGATTCAGCCAAGCAAATGATGACGGTGTGTGCAGTGAGGAGAGAGGAATCAGGTGTTACCCACGTTAGTCGGCCAGACAAACAAATGGAAACTGAAGTGTCCAAGCGTGACTCAAGGAGGACAAAGCGGACCTAGCAGAAGTGGATTGAAACGAGCATACCGTACGCACCAATGGACATAAGCAGACGGCGGAAGACTCGTAGATGAAAAATGACCCATGTAAAGCGATCAAAAGTAAACAACCCTCATCGTCTATTTACAGTATAGACGAGGCCTGATTTTGCTAGCTGCCCAGACTTTACTTTGAAACTTCGTCGGCTGCATGGTGAGCGCGCTAACGAAGTTCCTCAGTTAAAAACAATCTACTAGTTGTTAAGTGCAAACGATGTTTGCCGAAATATAATCTTTAATCTGCTTACAGATTCATTATATTTAAGTTTCCAACTATTTCTTTCTGATTCGACTACTTGTCCTTTTACTTGACGCTTGATTTTGTAGAAGCTAGCAGACTGTGTCACAGGTCGACCAGTAGTTTCTAACCTGGCAGCGGCTACTAAGTTGTACAACTGATTAGGAAATATTATGTCCTGAATGAGTAAGCTAATTTGCTGACTTCATTGTAACAAAGAGCATACTTTCCCAAAAGCTATACGGAGCCCAAGTGGTCTGTGAGCCACTTCGAGACTACTGTTTACAAAAGATGCGTGCATGTTGTTTTAATACTAATTCGTTTGGCTGCATATTGACGATGTCACATCATATTATATCGACTGTCTCATAGAACTGATATGCTCACTAAGAAGCGCAGGTCACAGCTGAACAAATGTGCTCGTCAATACTGTGTTTCAAGCTGGTTAAAGCGACCATACGCTTGAAGGGTACTTTTAGGGTTATCGTTGTGTGAATGCATTGTGACGCGCACTCTCACTATAGAGAGCGATTGCAGTGAACGTCACTTGAATCAGTCACGGGTACCGTACGGTTAAACTTAGACCTACCATCACCATCATCCTTGTTATACACGTTAGATAGAGGTGGGAAACACTTCAGCTACTGTGCCGCAATACATAAAAGAAAAAAAGGGAATAAACTGCAACAGGTGCAAACCAGCTGAGGAAACGGTAACGGATGAGCATCGTTCCGGTAAGCTAACAACCGGCTACCATGTAGCAAAAACAATTACTATGCAGAATTATATAAGGCTTTACAGTGAGATCGCGTTTTGAGAGGGAGGCTAAGAGTGATGGGGTGGGACAAAGAAACTCAGAGCACGAACAAAACTGAGCTTGGCTCCTAGTCATCTCTGCAAATATATCCAGCCAAATGTGTTCATCGTCTTTCGGACCCAACTAAGGGGCCGAGACACTCCAACCGAGGCCAGCTTCGAAGTGAGTGCCTTCCTTCCTCTCGACCAACTCATCGCTTGGCCACCTCTCCTCTTCTTTCATCCACACCCCCGGCGAGTAAACTACGCACGTCGCGAGAGTCGGTGGGCTGGCATGCGTAACACGTGGCCCAGCCATCGGAGCCTGATGCGTGAAATAACGGTGCTGAGCGGTTCATTTCATTTTCCTGTGCCGTAAACAAGGCGTCGAACACGCTCGTTGCTCATGCGGTGTTCCCCCCAGATGTGTGCTAAATGGCGAAGACACTAGTGGTCGAACGCAACTGGCCTCTCTATGTCTGTTGATCTAAGGGGCCAGGTTTCACAACCGTACGGTAAGGTCAAACGTACCGCTGCATAGTACACTCTACCCCTAAGGGCAAGAGTGACGTTGTGCCGCCGCCATAAGCGGCGAACGTTAGAAAAAGCGTCTCGGTTCGTGATCTTATATTCAATCACACGGCGCTAATTAAACTTCCCAGGTAGTTGAATTTTTGAACGACTTCTAGCTGATCCCCACCAAGGGTCAGCGTAGGAGGCGGTCTAGGCAAATCTTGGAGGGACGCTCTGCATTTCGAGGGTGCAAAGCAAAGCCCGAAGCGGCTGACACTCAGTGTTAATCTGTCCAGTGCAGCTTGGCTCGCTGGGAGCTGTCACAGATGAGGCCAATGTCGTCTGCATACTCCAAGTCAAGAAGTCGTTCTCCAGGTAGCAGCTCCACGCCTTCTAAGTCGTCTCCTGTGAACGCTATTTCCATGACTTGGTCAACAGCGGAGTTGAGAAGGAAAGGTGACAGCGGGCATCCTTGTCTCACGCCGCTGGAGATATTAAAGGGCGACGACAGCTTGCCGTAATCCCTCACTCTGCATGAGCTACGCGCGTATAATTCACAGATAATGTGTACATATTTCTCAGGTACACTTTTCTGAGTAAACAGGCCCAAAATGTACGTCAATCCGCCGAATCGAATGCACCTTTGATATCGAGGAAGTTGACAACGGTGGGTCGCTAATATTTCTCACGGTGTTCCAACAACTCACGCGAAGTGAAGATGTGGTCAATGCAGCCACGACCTCGACGAAAGTCGGCTTGATCTTCACGAATGTGGCTTTCACGAGTGCTAGTCAGTCTGTGAAGGATGACAGAGGCGATTAATTTGGAGGCGATGGAGATCAGACTGATTCCTCTATGGTGGTCGCATTCCGATCGTGAGCCTCCCTTGAAAATTGGCAAACGGACGTAGCGGCTCCAGTCTGTTGGGACAGTTTCGTGCTCCCACAGTTTCACTAGTAACTCGTATAAATCATCCACAAGAGCTGATCCCCCGAATTCGAGGAGGGCTAGAGGAAGATCATATGGTCCCGCGGCTTTAGGTAAGTTCAACTATCCGATCTCACATTCGACTTCTGTGGGAGAGAGTGAATCCAAAGGGATAGCGCACGGAGCAGGGCGATCAGTGACCGGCGAGAAATCTAACAATTCCGACCGACTAAATTGCCCTTCAAAATGTTCAACCCAACGCTCCAAGATTTTTGAAAAGCTGAGTATAGGTTGTCCACTCTCGTCACATATTGTTTCACTAACACTAATTCTCTTGCTTCACGTTTATCGTATCAGGCGGAATAACTACCTATGATTACCAAGGACAGCGGCTATTTCCATATGTGAAGCGCGATGAGACCACCAGGATTCGCGGTCTCTCTTCACACTAGGACGGAGTTTTGCCCGGAGATCTTTGCGAACTTCATTGTGTTTGGTTCTAGCCTGAATTTGTCGGCGAGCATCTATAAGTTCCAGAGACTGCGAAGAGACGCAACATCCGTGTTGGCGTTTAGATTTATCACATGAGGATTTTCCTACCAGTTTCACCGGTTTATCCTTCTTAACTAAGACGTTATCCAGAAACTGCGATCTTTGTGCACAGTGCGAAGATATCCAAATGAAGAAACAGTCATACAGATTCCCTTTACAGATTGCGGACTCCTTTCCACCAGTAGTACATAGCTAAGGCACAGACTAAACGTACTCAAGTTGTCTATATCATTCATATTTTTACGCCCTCACAAATGTGTCTGAAGTGAAGAAAGTCAAACGGTGCTTAATTTTAGGTTGCAAAGGACGAAGACGCACAAAATCTTAGTTTGCGCAACTAATGTTTGAGTATGCTCAGACTCCAAGTACCCGGTAGGTCGCGTACATGCGAAATAATTTTATTAGGCTAATCTGTCTTGGCAGACAGCGGATTTTAGTTCGGTGAACTTGATCTTAATTTATTCCTAGTCTTCCGTAGTAAAGGTGCATGGTTACGAAAGACAATAGATCTCTTATCGGAAACAACACTCAAGAGGATATGCTCATGAGATCGGCATTGTAGGAACGATATCTGCGGGATTAAAATGGAGGTTGTCCTACAAGCGAATTATTGCTAAAACTAATAGAGAACTTCCGTTCATTCTGTTCCATTAAAAAGTGTAGCATACTGTGAAGATAAAAAGGGCACCAATGAACAAAAGTAATAAAAAATAGTATATATAAATCCTTTTAACGTGCCACGGATGCTTACCGCATTGTAGTCATTTTTCCGGGGGGCGACGCAAATTTCCATTGCAATTCTCCTCTCCAGTGGCATATCTGTTCCTTCGGGTATGTCGTAACTAACAGCAGCGTCACCCTCAGATTCCTGATGTAGAGAAGTGATACTTTTATGCAGCAGGTTTAAAATATGTAACTACTTGTTTAGGAATAGTCGAAGTTTGATAAAGGAACGAGCTAGGAAAGCAGTATTAATTATGTTTTACAATTTCAAGTGTCCAGTATAACAAAACCGTCAAGTATCCACTAACTTTGCATGAGTATTCCTTGTTTTAACTTGTTAGACAAGCAAGTAGCTTTCTTTAACGTCTGAGTTATAGTAAGATCGCCGTTTCTAGGGCGAGGTGGGCACAACAAGCACAGTTGCTCAAATTAGACAACGCAGCCCACGGTTACACAACATTTGTGCAAGATTGATCAGCTATTCTCCGATGAGCGCGTTTATCATGTTCCCCAGCCTAAATGCATTAGTTGATATGTTAGGACTTTTCGGCTTTAGCTTATAGCGGATTCGGAAGAGCACTTGTTACTGTTATGTTAAAGTGAACCGAGGGCAAAGACGAATTTATGTTGGTGTGCTGTCTTTGTCTGCATTGTTTGAGCAGCACATCCTTGGTAAGTTTTCTCCGGACCGATTCTGAATATGAATCACACTGCTATAACAGCTACTGCAACAAGTTGGCCGCGTCATCCGAATGTCTTTCCCAGGGTGAAGATTTCAGTAAAATACCCCAGGGAAGTACATTTACCATATTGTTGGTTGGTAAAGAATGACACTGTGAGCATTCCTCTATTGGGCTACGTCAATCTTATGAGGAATGGGAATCTATAACTGTGTCCTTTTTATTGAATTAAAACTCCCATCTCGACCCGACTGCAATTTCAGCCAGATGCGCTTACAGAACACACTGCCTGGCTCTACTTTTCTCAAATTCAACGACACGAATATTCGCGGTAATTTAACATTTAATTGTGACGGTTCCCTCAAGAATCTTTCCTGAAATACGCGGAAAGGGTTTCTACAAATTCAGAAGAGTATGTGTTGTTAAGTCTTGATATGTTCCAAATGCGTTTTTCCTTGCTTTCTCCTCAGTCTCTAGATGACCATCGGAAGTCATTTCTATATCAAACTTATACTTTTGTACCGAATTGAATAGGCTTCTTGTCGCATGAAAATGGCTGATTTGTCCGAGTTATTTGACTTCACCAAATTATATCCGCGGCATGCGTTTCCAATGAGTATCTGAGTTCCGCCCATTTGGTTGTCATTTGTATTACGGATTTTCCTCGTCGTAAATGACGGCGATATTCATCGATCTGATTCCCCACAGTGGCATTAACCGCTCTCCAAAAGGCCGCCAACTTTTTGGACAAGTTGGACCAATGCACAGAGATTTAGTTCACTTGGGAATTGTTACTAATATGTCCGGCCCTGGAATTAATTTGGACTTGACTGTGAGGACATAAGTGGTTGAACAAACACTTCAATACATAGGATACCTACAACGTACTGGGGACCAAACCTACAATCTGTCCAAGGTCAGTGTGACAAAGGATTCGACCAATCAACCCTCACGTACTGAGCTAATGGGGAATTTAGTAGCAGCGGGGTGACCCTTGAATAACATCCAAGACAAATTGTTGCGAGAGGGACGTTTCTTCGACCTGGTGAAGTTACAAGTTAGGAGGCACTTCGTTACCATTCATCGACCCAAATTTGTATTTGGTTAAATTCGTTAACGGTTTTGTTTGAGGATAACCTATGCAGTCAGGTTAATATGGTCGTCCAACCGGGGAAAAATTTACGCTAAGGGCGTGCGTTGTGAACTTGGTATTATCCTCAGTGTTGTCTACTTTTGACGGCAGTTAGCCTCAAAGTTTCGTACTCTTGTCGGCAAATCGGTTCACTATAAATAGGTGAGGTTGTCAGTACCCAAATTTCAAGAATGGTATTCATTCACTGTTAGCTTTCGGTAATAACAGCTTGGACCTAGCTTTCAGAAGTTACGGCGCAGTCGGAAACGGGACGTTATTCCTCAGTCATTATGACAGTGATAACCCTTTCTTAGTATGAATATCTTAAGATCTGTCAATTTGGACTATATCATCTACTGTCGGGTTTGTGACCCTCCGGATTCACCACCTGGAGTTTTTCGTATGACCTTGTGAACTTAAACCTCAGTGATAATAGTTACTGCTAACATACTGTGCATACCACAATTTGGACAAACATGAATCAATTTGATAAGGTAGGCGGATCATAATTTGCTTGGATAGCAGTGAGGAAACGCAGTTATTGTTAACCAGCTTCACCTACGTTTGTTTTACCACTGGGCTGATATTGGAGGAGGAGTTCAGCAATTTATAACTAGCATTGTAACTTGTAACAAGGGAAATTAACTTCAGATCTAAAGTTTATCAGGTTGAAAGACGAATGAAGTATCTGTACTAATTGGGTGTATGGACATTTAAAATGACCAATGTTTGTCCACGGTTGCTAAACCTCACAGTATAATTCACAAAATAAAACCAACTTCACTGAAATCCATTCTGTTGGACACCACATTCATGATAGTTCCAAATCCGTAGACATCCATCTGCGGGATAAAGTACAGGTCTTGATTTGCTACGAAAGAATGAGAAAGGGAATATAAATCACTAACGTGTGATTCAGCTGGAAGAACCCTCACATCGATGACACGATGATGGCATCGGTCAACAGTGAAACTGTTACTGACTTCAGCATGACCTAAAATTGAAGAGTCTCCCATTAGTTCAGTTGCTGCACAATCATCCAGTAAGACTGCGACCACATCAAAAATACACCAAAAATATCGTAAACGTTCATCTCATTGTATACTACCCTCGTGCGAATAATATGCAGAGATCACTGTTAATTAAAACTTTCATTAGTTTCCATTGTCAACTAAAGTCAAACTAGGCTTTACATGTCTAAATAGGTGCGTCATCATTTACAAACTCACTGCGGACAAACTGAATGAATGGGACCAGTTAAAAATAAATAAACACCGGTTGAAGAATCAAATAGTCAAAGATATGTGGATGTTATTGAAACAACCGCATTCGCAAAGCATTCGTGCATTTCACAGGGTCGACAAGAAGTAATGACAAATAAAGCAAGATTGTGTTGCGATAGGAAGAAGTGAGAGCAAAGTAAATCCTAAATTTTAAGCGTGTGTGAGACACAGACAACGTCTTTTAGAGAGCTTTATTTGGCGGATGAGAGTGCTCACTTAGGACCTCAGGAGAATTGTTCATGTAATCGTGCAAACGCTTACAAGCATTATACTCAACCATGGAACCTCTAAGCAACCCAACACATCCGGAAATATGTTTGATCGATCGCACAATCAAAACAGTCCTTCAACGCGGTAGTCCAGGGTAGATTATTGGGATACAGTAAACACAGTGGGGGAGTAAAAAAAGGTGCAAATTCGATATTTAGCTTAATGGTACGGAGAACTTGAGTCGGAGGGGCCGCAAACATAATCTGACCATATGAAGTGTTTCCAAAAGGCGCATTGACCAAGAGAGGTTTTTGGAAAAAAGGACTCCGATATTTGACAGTGGAGAAAACAGGCATGGTTTTGTCCTCCAAACTTAATAGAGGAAAAGGCTATACAATTACTCGCACTTTGTCAGGGCGGCGAAATGAAAGTGTTACATCAGTAGATTTCAAAGCATTAAGGTTAAGGGACTATCTTGAGGAAAAACTCACAAGTTCGTCTAAACCACATTGAAGCCTAGACTCAATGGAGGGAGCTCTGCGCTCCAAGACAACGGCGTCAGCATATTTACATCCAACAAATGTTTGTGGTATGGGGAGTATTTCGAGATATAAAGTGAATAGAAGGGGTGCGCAGATTGCGCCCTGCAAAATATCACCGTCAGATCACAGCATAGAGAAGTCATTGGTTTTTCACTGGGTAAAGTGCCCGCCATCAGTGAACTAATAACGCAGCAAGTTACAAACATCAGGATGGACTCTGTTCAGATAAAGCAGGTTAAGCAGAACTCATCCGTCAAGACTCCCCAACGCATTTGAGCAGTCAAGCAACAGAAGTCGAAAGGACCTGCAAATTGTATCCAGCGTCGAGGTTGTTGAATGTACATGGTACAAGACAGCGTCAAGCGTGTAGCGCTGGAGTCTAAACGCAAACTGGTAGACATCATCAGCACGATTGGCTGTAGAAATCCGTGGAACTAATAGCTTTTCGAGGACTTTTAAAAACACGGAATTACAGACAATAGGCAAATACTTCGCAGGTTCCCTTTTCGTTGGCGTTATTCTGGTTGACGTCCAGATGTTTAAGGTGACAAAGCTAGTGAGCTAGTCTTTGAGAATATCAGCCAAGGCAATATATAAGAGAACCGGCGCACCGCTAAAAAGCTACAAGTAATAAACAATCAAGGCCACTAGCTTTATTTGAACTTAGCTTCTTGAGTTCTCTGTTGACTTCAAGTTAATCAAATAAGGCGGCTGGATATGAGCTAATGAGGAGAGGAAGTAAAATCAGAATAGAGTTTATCAACGTCTATTATTGCAATATAACCGATGGTACTTTTACTCCAGGTTTGCTTCAGCAGCCTTTAGAGATCTCGGCAGTTACGGTTTCCCAGGACTGTTTAAATGTATACAATTTTTAGTCTTGTTATTCCAGCCTTAATTGCTAAAGTTAGGCTATTGACTCGTTTGGTCATTTTGAGCGTGGATGAACGTTCTTTTTTCCTTCGAAGTTGTTTCAAGAAAGTGAAAATCTATCTGTTTGAAGGCAGCATAGGTGAAAGCAAAAGCTTACGTAACTGGTAAGGTTATCACATTGAAGCGATAGAGCTACTTCAGTAAAACTAGAAAATCTGTTAAAGAAAGTGTTGCTTAAAGTCGTGCGATATTCTACTCCGAGTAATTGCGTCGTCGGATAGTCCTGAATTGTCATTCCGTTGATATCGCATACTTAATTTTACTTAGATGGTTGGGCAAATCTTTAGTGTACAATGACATGAGTTGCTTAGTTGTGCATGGTTTTGTGTGGAAAACCAACGAATTATGCTGACGTAAGCACCATCAAGCTGCGCCTCTTCTCTGATCGGAAAAGTTTTTACATCTGTCAGCTCAATTTACTTGAAGTATGTTGTAGCATATTTATTAAAGTCACCGGCAACAGTGCAAGCAGAGTATACTGGTTTCGGCAGCAATATCAAAGCAATTTGCTCAACTAATAGCCTGAGTTTGCAAGATACTGTGTCAGGAGCAATGTAGCAGTCTACGATAGTTACGCATTGAAAGCCACTGTGAATTTGAGACTTGCATTCAAGTAACTGACAGCTAGCAAACTTGCAAAGTGAGTGAGTATTTGATTGACTGAGTTGAACCGGAGTTGGTTAACTTACCTGATGATGACACCGCCAGGATTCCTTAGCTTACCTAGGCGATCTGACATAATGGTACGGTATAAACTGATGTTTATAACTGCATCTTGAAGTGAAGGCTAGTACCAGCTTTCTTGTAACTTAATAATACCTATGCTTATAAACACCTTTCGTAGTATAAGAGCTATGAGGTCAGTGACTTTCCTAACAATGAACGCACATTGATGTAGCGGATAATTGGTGAGTGCATTTTCTGTAAAGAGCATCGTCTGAGGCCAATTTTTCAACTGGCGCAAACGTTTTCACAGAATTTATTTAAAATTGTTCTTGGGTTTATGACTGTAGTTGACAAAAGGCTTTTTACTCACCACACTTCGAAATGATTTCAAAAATCGGCAGAATAGGATAGCAATGGTAACTGGGACGTAGTTCAGTTAAACAAAATTGATAAACTAAAACAACAAAAGTTATAGGTCCGCAGCAGATTGCAGAAAATAAACGAAGTTCCATAAGGAAACAGCAACGGCAAATATGAAGGCCCCGTCACGAATCGGAACACTTGCTACTAGAAATTCTATTAATACCATAGACAATTTTCGGTGCATTTGTGGAAAAGAGGCAGCTGATAACCAGAAGGAAATTACAGGTTCTCAAATGAAGTAGTTATAACATCTGTGCATCGGATGTAATATTGGTAACTGAAATAGGTGTTGGGACTCGCCTAAATGCTATACTACGTTCACAGCTCAGATTCTCCAAAGATTACTTGTTATACTCTTTATGATATAATCAGAGCCTGTGTATCCCATGAATAATTTTTCTTTAGCCTATTTACTTCTTACTTCGGTCGAATGACGGGTGAAAATAGACAAGAATAATAGACAAGAATAATCCGTCTGCAGTGAAGCCGATTCGACATCATGAAGGACTTCCTAGTCCAATACCTAAAGTGAGATGTTCTGTATATTTCTCATGATAAGGTAAACTGACTAGTTCTGTTCCAGCTTTATAAACACACTATGATCCATGGTCCCACTGGGTCATACATGGTACGCTTTTTTGTGGATTTGTCCAAAAATACATCAAAATCTGGAAACATACTCTAACAAAGGAAGTTAGTAAAGTGTCAGAAATATTTTATGTGGAATGCACTGTTACTAGTAAGGGTTTTGATCTAGGAAGTAAAGTACTCGGTCATTCTTTTTAGAAACAGAGTGTCTTAAAAATTACTTACCATTCAGAAACAGCAAGTGGACAAAGGTAAATGGCATCAGCCGTTACTCAATATCGGCGTTTCGCTGCAGTGCAACCACCACCAGTCTTACGTGAGCTAAGGATACTGCGAGGGTCGCCCGGTCTCTACTCAGGCTCGAATCTGAATCCTCAGATTATAAGGCAGGCTTGTTCTCCTTAAGGCTTCGAGCCGGAAGTAACACCAGGTAGTTTTATTGTTAAAAATGTATTAGTGCTTGCGTTTGCACAATGGAATCCGTCCTTTATCGATTCTACTATGGCATAATGTTCACGCGAATGAGACCTCGAACTTTAAAGCAGCTACTTCATTCCAGTGTCTAAAACTACTCACTAGCAACGAAAATGAAGTATATTTGTGTATGCGTTTATAATGTTAACCTTTCGGGATATCGTGGTACTTAACTGACCTTCGTTTTAACTATCATTTGGCCAGCACTATTGTTTTTGTGTGCGGATCGCAGTTTTACTCTGATGCTAATACTGTCAGCATCCCTTCTGTGTATGCAAGTGATTGGTTTCTTGATGGATGTTTCTGAGTAGCGTAAGGTTCGAAGAAAGTAGAAGTCACGATTAAACCGCACACAATAATCTGCCTCGACGGGGAATCGAACCCCGGTCCACGAATTTCCGGTCCGCTGCTCTACCACTGAGCTACCGAGGGCTGACGATTAGGTGCACAATTTAATACATGACTTCTGCTTGGTGCGCGACGTATTGCCAATGAGCTCACAGTAACTGTCCTGGTGTTGCAGATTGGCTCACTCGTCACTTCCGCACGCTGACAACAGCTGATTGGCATTTGACGCCACGCGTCTTGCCATATAGTGAAGCAGATATCCTATGTAATAGAACTGTGAATCATGTTTCTACTACTTCGCGTCCCAACTTCATTTAGTTAGCGGAAGCATTTGCGTAGCCGGGCTCAGTACAACTGCAGTTAGTGCTTATGAAGATGGTCGAAACTTTTATGAGAGGGCAGTAACACAAGTCTTAGTGCAGTATTGTAAACAAGTTGCATCTCGACCCCTTGAGACTAATTTCTGCTGCTGCTGAAGTATGTGCACGAATTGTCGCATAATTCGGCCTTTTTGGGACAAACGATTTATTGGACAAAGCCAGCTCAGTAAAAATGGCACCATGATTAGGCTGTACAATCATCGACGCAAATAACTAGGTCAGTTCCATAATTGATGACCTTGCAGCATGCATGAGATTCTTCCTTTGAAACAGTCAAAGAAGCTGAATTCAGTGCTGCCGAATACGAACGCGATAGCGTATGGGTGAAGATGCGTAAGCGTCCAATCGTCTGCTTCGTTTGCGGCAAGCTAGCCGCTTGCTTCTTCATGTAAATCCGTACCGTAACTACTTAATCCCATCATACTAATGACTTCTAATAATAGGACGAAACGACAACATGGTTCTTTTTCGGTAGCCCGAGAGAATGTTGGACCTAGACTATTGCAAAGAATCTCGTTTATTTGACTCGAAATTCCATGATATTAACAGAAGGTTCGTTCGAAAAATTGCTGATTATTTTTTTCTATGATAGCTTCCTCCACCTATACTGGCTGCAGTAAATTAATTTTTACACAGTATAGTATATCGTTTTTCTCGTTTTAGTTGGCTTTCTGGACAATTCTCGGACTTTGTGAAACGTTCTAATCGTGAATGAAATAGCATTTTCAGAAGTGATGTGACATTTTATTGAATAAGACGGAATCCAGTTTACAGTCAACACGGATACATCCTAAGCTGAAATAAGCATCTCTCATTTCGTTGCATCGTTCCCCCGAATGTTTGCATCCGTGACGCTGGAAGCTGCATCGCGTGCGATCACGTGATCTCAGGTCGCGACCAGCGTCCATGAGTATGGCTCATACGAGTGCATGCGTGCAACGTGTCACATGACTTACATAATGCAGATGCAAAATTCACCATGCAACCATTTGGGGGAACGATGCAACGAATTGAGAAAGGTGCAGATTGAAGGACATCATGTTTTGGCCTGTTGGGTTGTTCCGTGACCAGACACGTGCCAAGGGTCTTGTTAAGATTTGGATGAAAATTCCTTACTGTGAGCGCCTAAGGGCGTATGACGTTCACACTAACTGGTATCATACTGCACATCAACCACTGTGTTCATCAGATCGTTTGATGGTACCGTTTCTCAGGTATGGTAGGCCACGATTTTATTATCACAAATGATTTGGGAATTGCTACAAATAGTACCATGTGGTACTATAAAAGTGTATTACTTACTGCGATACTCGGGTGCCACGTAGGGAAGGTTCTCAGCCTGTTGCATAAAGGAGATCAGCTTGTCCTTTTCCGACTTGAAACGAATCGAGTCCAGGCCAAAATCTATAAAATAAGAGGGACGCCTAATTACCTCTCTCCATCAGCTTGTCGCCATTCGAAGGCATAAAGGAAAAAAGCTTGTTGGTTTCACTGTTTTACTTTATTTTTCAGTATTAGCTTGAAATACCGAGAGAACCAGCATCATTAGTTTACTATTAAGCCCTGTTTTGCCTCATGTCCTACGACACTATTTTAGTGATCAGATAATCCACAAGATTCAAGTCACATAAGTTGGATTTAGCAATGTCACTTTTGTTCTTGTTTAGTGAACCACATACTGCAAGCTGCACTTCCTGATCACTGTGAAATGAAGACGGATCAGGAGGTCGATATGTACACCGAACACAACGCCAACTGGGATTTGTCACATTATTTCTGCGCGCGTGCTGAACGTGAGGTTTGTCCCTGCTCAAACCAGCGACAATGCAATAAGTTTTCTTGTCATTAGACTGCCATGCGCAGACTCATAGCAAGCGTTACTCCATAATTTGTACTACGTAAATGACGACGAATTCACACTGGTTGCTAGCATCCGGAAGTCATGGGGTGGAAACACGGAAGGGCTCCAAGGAAGGCGCACCACTGACGAGACCCAGAATGTCGAAACAGCACTGTCTGTTTCTTTTCCAGACGTGCCAACGCCTGCTGAATGAGAGAGGACTATGATGAATTACCTCCGAATTATTTTCGATCGATTTATCCTCTGGCTTATGCATTAATATACAGTAGGATAAGATTTGTCTTAATCTTTTGTACAACAAGGAATCCACTGGTTACTTAATTTGGCAATTCTGCTGCCAATAATCTAATCATACGATTGAAGTCAGGTGATTTTGTGTACTGTAGTTACTATCTTCTTGTCTGATTTTGGGCCATAGTAGTTGCGAAGTTTTTACAATATTCTTCTGAACTCACAGGTAGGAGCTTGTTAGCCATATGCATACTGCTTCCGCGGTGGCAAGTAGGCTTGCTGTTACTCGACGTCTATTCATGGGCTATAATGTGTATAGAATATGTAAGGCAATATGTTTGTTGCTCTGGTGACCGGAGTTGATTAGGTGGTTTGTAATCGCATTATTACCAATCCACTTTTTGTGATTGTAGACCAAAATTGGGAGGTTCGATGATTCTCTTACATAACTGCCTGGTCGTTAGTCCAACGTACTTAGACCCTCATGGGTAGGTGAACCGGTAGGTCAGCAGACACACGGTCTTTGAATCTAGGAACTAGTAACGGTCTACTCATTAAAACTACTGCTAGCTGGGTTGCATCATATATCTTTTTGGAACTTTGTTTTATTCTTCTTATGCATACCTCAGCAATATCCTTTCTTTTGCATGAAAGTGGCCGAAAAGGCTGTTCCTTTTCGACTGTTTGTAGCTACACTTGTAGAATGCCTCGCCTAAGGAGGGGCTCGATAAAGCGCTCTGGACAGCTGTTCGCCAGAACTGTTTCGTTGATTGGTTTGTGCTCTGCTATACTGGCGTCTTGGCTACAGATTGTATATGAGTGATTAGTTAGGTTTGGTAATTATGAACATTTTGCAGCTGAGTAGGATGAAGCTGTGAAAGTTCGTGTATTGTCCCATCCAATACGGCTTCTTGCATGCTTTTACATGGAGTGTTCCGTATTTCCTTTTGACTAGGCTTGCGTCGAAAAATTCATCTACCTGTTGTTTTCTTCCTCAGCAATTTGGGGGTGACTTCGTTAAAACAATCTGCTACGTGCTGCTGGTTGATGGTTCTATTACGCATACAAAATACACGGCCTATCTAACGTTGGTAAACTTCAATCTCGGAGATGAACTGTTTTAGTCGGCCACCTTACCATAAAGGCTTCCGCTAAAAGTGAACGAAGCTTAAATACAATTGCTACGCATTTGATCTGTCTGTATAACTCTTTATTGAATTTGAGTTGAACGTCGTACGTACAACTGTGATGTCACAGTTTTAGCTTCTCTTTCTGAGCTTTAGGTAAGTCATTATATCTCACAAAAACCGGCTATGCTAAAATAAAACCGCCAGAATAAAAACCTATGACACTCAAGCAGCTGTCGATAATAAAACATGCGCAATGAGAAATTATCAAATGGTAGGATAGAAAATATTGAATAACAGTCCACCCTACAGGTACGAACTATCACTAAAAAAAGTAGTTGAGAGTGATAAGTTAATTTACCTTTTTGTGGATTGTGGCTTTACCTGTAATTCCTTCGGTTCTACTTGCACACTAAGCTTTTCACAAAAGTTAAACCTATCAGAATGTTCGGCTGGATAACTAATGACTTAGTATTTTCTGTAGTTCTCGGGGCGCTGTTTTTATGAAACCATATCAATTCAGTGAGGTTTTGTACTTTGCAGTAGGATCATATGTTTACAGTGTTACACATAGAAAATAACGCTATAACTGGCTATTTTACTAGACTGAAAAATTATCCGTAGATGCAGGAATTTCGGAAAAATTATAAACCATCCTAATGAGTACATAATTTTTACTGTTGGGCGACTTTCCAGAGGGAACGAAATGAGTTAGTTTAGATAACCGATGAACTAGCTAAGTTCACTTGAAGCCAGGAGCGGAAATGTGTCAACCCAATTATACGTGAGGAACGGGCAAAGCGTGACACAAGACTTGTGATGAGCTACAAGGAACTGCAGTAAAAGTACCAAAATTGACCATTTCACTTGTTTGATCACTACTTCCCAGCTTGCGCATTGACTATGTAATCTCCATGAAACCAGACTTTTGTGTATTGACCAGCACTGTAAGTTGCCATTTGACCACTTGGGCCATAACAGTCATTCTTACTTTAACTTTCATAACTTGATCACGCAAATGTTTACTTTGCATTGGTCCCAGGACGACTCGTGTATTTCAACGACAATGTATGTAGTGCGATAGTTCAATATGTAAAATTCTCCTGACCAACAATCCCTACACTTCACGACCTCGCATACGTTTGAAGATACAGCATTTTCTCTGTCGCTGTGTGTATTTGTTCACTTTTCTCCAACCCCTAAGTGTTTGTGCGCATAGGTGTTTGACTCGTAAAGTGTGTCCAGTAATAATCAACAAAATATCTACAGTCATTAGTTAGCCCACCACATGCAATAGGCCTTAGCATAATCGCAAACCAATGATCGGCATGCGACAAGAGCTTCATCTGCTGCGTTAGTTAATACCTCGGATGCTGTAATTTGGATAAGAAGCGCTTTGTGCCAAGCGTAATCAGAACCAGTTCAGAAGTTTTTAAGTAAAACTGGATCCATTCAAACATTCGAGCATGATATCGACATTTAATTCTCTTTAGCATAATTCAGGGTAATAGATTTTGAAATTTGTAGCCATGGATACTGACTTGGCAGACTGCACTGAACCACACCCGGATGCCATTTTCCAAGATGTACTGCGGTCCGCCCCATGGAAAAGATGTTGGATATGTTTATTGTAACTAAATACATTTTGCCGTGAAAAGTATCCATGCCTACTGCGTAGCGTGGCATATGCTAAAAGCAGCTTTTGCTGGCACGCTTAAGATAAAATAAGCTGACAAAAGCAGACATTTAAAAAGGGTCGGAAATGAGATGAACACATTGTGCTTTGGTTTACTAGAACATGTATGACACAACTGTGGTTGACATTGTATATGTGCTCATCTAATATATTAGAAACATGATTAACCTGAAAACAAATTTTATATTGTGTCACACACAACGGGAAAGTAAGGTAGGCTAAGTTTTTATGACCATGTGTTGGCCAACTTTTATGTTGACCACTCTGGCCAAGTCCCTTGAGTGATCAAGCAAGGAAATTTTACTGAGTAAACAGCACCTATATAACTAGCACAGCGGACAGTCGGAAGGTTGCACATATAGGTCATGAAGAAAGTTAGCCATAGAATTTGTTATCCAGTGTCATAAAACTGGAGCTTACAGGGCAAAACTCAACGAGTGATTCTCTTAAACACATCAGAAGGCGTTAAACATTCAAAGCTATCCAGCTGCCTCAATTGTAGTTTCTTTCTATAACTGAAATACCGAGTCAAACAAATGTCGCCATGACAGTTAGCGGGTTGACCCCATCTTTCGGCTATCAAGCTTAATAAAGTTTTAGTCCAAATCTCGCTTTCATGCTATTGGCATGGTCATGCGTTCCAATCCAACAGGATTCGGCGGGTGCGTGCTACTGACGAGATTTGCTTAGCCGAAATGGCCGTCAACATATTTCCAAATGTGTAGTGACTGTCTCAGGCTAGCTGCGACGGACATTCACCAAACTCAATAAACCCTTACTACTCACAATTAATCAGTAATCGCCTAGGTAACAGATATGCCACTCGATTGGTAGCGTCTTGCGAAGGAACTCGTCGCTTTGTGGCAGATAAACCAGTTTCGAAAGAATAGTCTGATTCATTATTTGTTCAAACGATTTCAAAGGTCTCTTTTTGCTACAAATGCCAAGCTACTCTGCACCATCCTGATACATTGATATTTGACATAAACTTTTCTGTCAACTGAAACCAGTCATGAAAAATTTTATTAAAACTGCCCTGTTGACCGGATGCAAGTCCCAAGAATTCTAGTTAGTATTGTAACTTTCTTCCTCTGATAAGTCGGCACATTTGCGTCAGTGATGACAGCACAAGTTTATTTTGTCCACCGACTTGTACAAATTTGTATCTGTGTGCCGACTCAGTATATTTGCAGCTGATAATGTAAAATGTTGAACGTGCACCCATTTAAGTACAAGCAGTTTATCTCGAATTAGATTGGCTTATTTATCCTAAATTAGGTACGGGAAAATCGCTAGTCTAATGGGCATCATGAATATGATGTAGGAAATACTTTCCCTGCCGACGCACTTTGATTTATGCTTCTGGCGAACTTAGGAAAGCTGACCGTATTTATTCTTGTTTTACGGATGCGGATCTCATGAATTCTCAGTTAGTCTAAAGGGCAGCGAGACACTGTCCATAGATAAACACCGAAAGCCGCATTGTAAA